TTATTTGTCAGAGTGAGGTATCAGCTGAGCAAGCCCTGCCTCATTCCTAGCGTGGGAGCTGAACTGCTGACCAAAGAACTTTCAAGCTTTGTTATTATATACCTGCTGATGGCCAGACAAAAGACCAAGCCACAGATCATGAATACTGCCTCTTCAGCAGCTTACTTTCTCATGTATCAGTTAACATTTTCCTAGCATTCATCATGGTCTCTGATCCTCATGATCTTCTCCCTGTTTTATGTGTTCTTGAGGTTACCTTTATAATAAGATCTCTTCCAGAAGTTCAAGCATGATCTAATTTGATTGTTTCCAGAGGTGCTAAGCCACATCTATAAATTAGTTATTGACATGAAATAGTACCAAAAGTAAAATGAAATCAAACTAATCGGAAGATAGTTGGCTTCCTGTATGTTTCTCTAATTATTTTTTTTTTCCTGGTCTAAATACCCTTTCTAGGGTTAATTTTCCCCTCATCTCACTCCTTGTCAGTACTACAGCCCAGAGAAATCTCCCACTACACCAGATGCATTTTTCTGCCAGTCCCGTATGACTACTCATCAGAAACATCAGTTTATTTCCATATTATGACTGTTCAGGACCATGACTCACTATGTCCTACCTTTCCCATTAAATTTTGCAACCTTTCAGACAGCAAAATGTTCTAGATCTTTCCCAAACTGGAAGGTATTATTAGAAAAAACAACACTATAAATACCATAAAACAGGCTATTGTCTAGAATAAATACAGATAGCCAAGTTTAAAAATGAGTTAAGTAGTTACAGCTAAAGTTGGAGAGAGAGTGGAAGGCTAAGTCAGTCCAGCTACCTTTAGATGATCTTTGGTCACAGTAAGTATTGAATCATGTTATGTTATTTAAAGTATGTTAAATACGTGTTTTCTAACAGCGCACTTTGCCCAGTATAGATAAGGTCTCTAACATTATCAGAAGAGGTAGCACATACAAAGCATCACAGATTTCAAGCCCAGCCTTTTATGAAGGCCCTTTCTATTTTCTTAGGTTATAAGCTCACTGCTGGCACCACTGCCTGCCCGAGTGTTTGTAAAGCATCTAGTATGGCAGGAGCACAACACGCTTCGTTTGTTGTAAAAGGCTCTGCACAGATTATGTTCGGAATGAATGAAGGAGGGGTTACTTACAGAGACACCTGTATGAGAGGGATATCCGCATTTGTGGATTTTACATTCACTGATACACACTTTGCTGCTACATGTAGGCAGGTAGAGAGGGGTATTATTATCTCTTCTGCCCAATATTGTGGCTTGTGCCGTATCTACACCACACAACAATCTATCACCAATGACTACCACTTATCAAAGCAGAAGGAATTCAATACCAACTAGATGCTCAGTTATTGAAAAGTCACATTCTTTGTTTCAAAAGCCAATAAACAAGAGAATTTGTGGTCTCTCCTTGCATGAATAGATGTTTGCTGCACACAGAAGCAGACTTCTTGCACTGCTGACAGAGGCAGAGCTTCTAACAGCTCTTCTGTGTTTGGAGGTCACTGTCTTGAGTCTTCAGAAAACTACCTGTGGGCGTCACAAGAGCCGTCCGAGCCCCCTTGAAAACCTGCCCCAGTGTGCTGAGCCTGTCACACACACAGTGCATTTGTAAAGAGCAGCGGTGCCTGCTGCAGCAAACATCCCTGTCACAAAGATTAAACTGAGGCAGTGATACCACTTGCAATGTAACAGAAATGGTGCTTCTGCCAGGTGGGAGTAGTACAATTCCTCCCAGGTAGTTCATCTTCATGCCATCGGGCTGACCCCTGAGGAAACCCTGAGCGCAAGGAGACACTGGGTTTACCAGAAGCCCTGTTTAGCGGTTGCATTTTCTGCTGCATATCAAAAGAGCCAGGGACTCCTGCACAAGCTGTGACTAAGGAGAAATTCAATGGCAGCCCCTGTCTCAGCCTCCAGTCTCCCAGGGTGAAAAATGCCACTCCTCATCACCAAACCAAGTGCTGTCATCTGCTAATGCATAACATCAGCCTGGTTGCTGATTTAGAAAGGGCACCAAGATGAGATCTGAACTATAGCCCGCTGTGAAGATAGTCAGCCTGCTATATTCAAACAGTCTCAGCACGCAAAGAATTGAGAAGTCAGCCAAGCCACACAGAGACGTTTTTTGAGAGGTACTAAATCACATGACAGGACCTTCTCTTGGCAAATTGACAGGGGCAGGTTGCTTTTAGCAAATACACCTACTTCCAAAAAAGGATGGTGATAACATAAAATGATTAGTAGAGGAGAGTGTTCAAGGGCAAATCATATTTGCTAATGACAACTATAGTATATTAGCCTGCTGCTGGGTCTGCTCCATCCAAAATAATTTGTTAAAAGATAAAGTTATGGAGATTAGTAAGGCACAGCAGCCTATTGTAAGAGAAATAAAATCGAACAGAAACACACTTTGAAATGTAGGCAGCTCATACTTCACAGTGAGCACTTGCTTATGACTTCCAGGGTTTTCAACAGGAATCAAGCAGCTGTTTCAGTTCTTTTCTGAGCTGGGATAGCCTGCATTTTGGCAGCACAATTTTGGCAATATTACATTATTGCTATGGCTGGTTGCAATTGTTATTTTGCATGGACATCCATAAGTCAAAAAGGCTGTTTAAAGTGATTTTTTTCCTAATATTTATTTTACCAAATGACCCACCATCACTTTAGCTGGATTCTGAATTCAAATCACATCTAAATGGCTGTGCAAGAAGTAGTCCGTGTTCAGTAACAGCACTCCTTCCCCGTGAGCTAGAAGGTACTGTTCTACCCATCTGTCAGATAGGAAGCAGGAAAAACACAGTGAATTTACACAAACTCATTCAGACTTCATCTAGGCTCGTGACAAGACAGTGAGGAGACAGTACTTATGCTTACATTTTGTTACTCAGACCATCAAACAACCAGCAAATCCAATCCGCATTTGAAAATCACCGATTCTGGATTATAAAAGACAGCTTAAGATGTACAAAGTTCCAAGAGGACAGTTGCGAGCAAGTGGATTCAGCAACTGTCACAACAAACATGTTCTGTAAATATGTTCTGTAACTGGTACAGTAGGACTGGAGATGCTATTATAATCCTGACAGCTAACTGTCAAAAACACCACCTACCTGTGACAAATCACAAATTCTGATGTGTTAGATTTTTAAAAAATTTCTTCCAGTGATGTGAAAAGGCAGAAGAATATTGAAAAAATATCGATAAAAAAATCTATTTGAATTGTTCTGTAAGAAGTGTTGTCGGTAAGACATTTGCTTCTAAATAACTGGAATAATTTTACTTGTCTTTATGTATCTAAGAATAATTGCCAAAAAAATGGTAGATGAGGAGTTGAATATATTGGTTAGGTTATTGGTTAGGTATAAATGTTAAATAAATTTCGTTTAAGAGAAGAGTCTTATTCCCACCTGCACTCTTACTTGTGTCTGTCAACCTCTAGGAAACTGTTATCTTCAGAGAAAACATGGAAATATTTCATCCAAACTAGAAAGCGCTTCCTGAGATTTTAAGGAAAGCCTAGGTGTTCTCACAACCTGAAAACAGCTCCAGAGGAACTGCAGGAGAGCAGAGTGTTTCTGATGGCTGGGGGGCAGAATGGCTGGGGAGAATGGAATACCAGCCCTGTGTCAGGGATTTTTGATGCTCGTATTTCGGTAAATGCCCAAAAATAGTACTAACAAGTTTAACTGACTTTTTTGATTAAGCCATTTTTGTACCATCTAATTTGATGCTTTCCTGAATATGCTAACAAATTTGTCAGGCTTTGAGACAGTTTTCATCACTTTGCTTTTGCCACTCCCCCAGAATTACTTTCCATTGATTACAAGGCCAAAGGAACCAGCTTTTTTGAGTCTGCAGCAATGGAAACTGCACTCAGACCTTGTTGCATTAACTATTCAATATCCCTGTTAAAAAACTCTTCTAGCATGCAGAAATTTCAATTTTCATCTAGTCACTGAATTTCATTATAAGTTTGCTAAAGTAAAAAGCCCTTTATTATCAAACTTCTGTTTCTTACAGTGTTACTTAAGAACAACTTAACTTTCTATTTAATAAGTTAACCTCCTTTTGCAGAATGCAGTTTATATTAAATCCTTCTATCATTCTTCTCATAACATTCTAGTCAGATTTTAGCATCCCTCTTGAAACTCTGCCAGCAAAATTGGACTATCTATTTCACTTCGCATTCCCAAGTACAGAGGGACTTGAAATCTCTTTAGAACTTTAGCCATTTTAGCTACAGGTTTGCTATCAGAGTTAATATTCATTTGATTATCCAGCATGACTCAGAATCAGGAGGTTTCAGGACAGTGCCTTTATCTGAGGCATTTCGTCCTTTCTAAACATATGACCCTGCTTTTGACAGTATTGAAACGAATGTTGGTATGAGCACGCATTCTGCTAGTGCTCCAGATCACCCCATGCCACTGAACTGTCATCTTTACTTTTTATCTCTCACAATATCTCTGTTCTTGAGTTGGCATTACATAAACTTCATTCCTAATGAAGATATCAGTGAAAATAATATACCCACTCTACTACTTTGCCCAGAAGTAACATCAAATTAGAGAGACAGAATTTATCTCCCATGTGTTGGTACTCACTTTGCCACTTTCCTTTAATGAGCTATTAGATCTTGTATCAGCTGACCCAACACTGTGCCTGGAACTGATGACGCTAGACTGACAAGCCAAAAAGTATCTGGGTCATAGTATTTACCTCTTTTAATAGCAATGCACATTTCTCTCAGGGATTTTAAACTGTAGTATATGCTACAGACAAAATCAATAACTTCTTTTGAAGATTACACTTCTAATTATTGTATTAAAGAATGTTTAAGGAAAAACTATTCTTCTCCATTCAAGAGAACGTGGTATCTGCAAAGGAGAGAAGTCACCGCCAAGACTTTAAGGTTTTGTGAAAACAGCTATTACTGTCTTCAAATATCACAGCAGTTCAGCTGGAAAGTAATGTAGTTTGTTTGAAGTCACTAGAAACTCTGTCAAACTTCAATACGATATGGTAGATGTATAAACTCTTTCTTGACTGTGTAGCATTACTCACTCTTCATTTAATGCAGGCCTATGAACACTAATTCTGATCCCTCATAGCCCTGAGCGGAGAGAAAAAACACACAAAAATAATTTTGCTGTTCACTCAACTCTTCTTTAAAGTGTTGTCAATTTATTCTCTACTTCTATATCACAAGTTTCTCTTGCAAAAAAGTTTTTATATGGTAATGAAGATGTAAGTTGCTAGCATTTTTTTATTCATGTTTAACAGAGCAAAGAAGAATTTTCAGTGATTATATTATTTGCCCAGCCAATATATTAATCCTTAGGCAAAAATTCTCTGATCACGACACCTAACAGTAAGCCATTACCAGTTCAATCAGACGGGTCTAGATTGAGTTGCTTTCAATCAGTTTCAGTATTTTGAAAAAAAAGCCTCAGATCAAAACACTGAGGAGTACAAAAGGCCACTTACAGTTTGACTTCACAAGCACAGTCTTCCTGCTGCACAAGGGTACATCAAAATCTCAACCACCATGAACGCGGTGCTGTTGGTTTAGCTCTAAGCAGCACTGGGTTTGAATTACAATAATTGTAAACTAGTACTGTCATTTACATTATGTCTCTCATACATGTGAGCCCTAAAAAAAAAAAAAAAAAAAAAAAAAAAAAAAAAA